CCTTATTTGCCCTCCAACTCCATGTTTTTACTTCTGTTTAAGGTAACTGGAACTCCTATGGAAGCACAGTCCTTACTACAAGTCATATCAGCCTGACCACTGACGTCAAGGGTGCTAAGGGAGGCATTTTCAACATCTATCCTCTCTATTCTCGGGATTGGGAGGTTCGGTTAGCTTTCAAAGTTCATGGTTCGACGGGCACCATGTTTGGTGATGGATTTGCATTCTGGTACACCCAAAGTCCCATTAAGCCAGGTAACCAAGAACTCTTGCTCCGTGTATGTATGCATGTTCGCAGTAGACTCGTTTTTATTCATTGTTATATTATGCGATGTGCAATGCAATAGGAACTGTCTACTTTTTTAAGCAGTATGTATGCAGACCATTTGTATCAAAGTATTGGGACTAGCATTGTACTTGTGATTATTTTTAATCTATGTTGTCTTAATTATTCCGTTTAGTGCCGGTCAACGTGCAAAGTTCTACTGCAGCGAATCAAGTTGACTCTAATACGGTCATTCCCACGGGTAATATAAACTACAGTGGATGTACTATCTCATGAAATGTCACCCAAAATTCTGAACTATTTTCTCCACTCTAAGAGGTTAATTAAATAGGGTTCTACTATTCATTGTCATAAAGCATGATCTTAAAAACTGCAGTCACATCAGGATGCCGGCTTTTGAACAAACTTCATTCCGGTCTTCCGCAAACTGAATACTTAAGTGATCTGTATTTCCATTGATTTTCACTGCCCCTATAAATGTTAATATAGTTTATAGCAAACAAGCACAAAAATATTCCTTCAAATACCCATTTGCCGCCTGAAAGGAAATTGTTCAATAAGAGAGAGCTTCACTCGTCTTTAAAAAGTTTTTTAATTATGAGTTTTCAAGACCGTGAAATATGCACCGTATCTTCTCATTAAATAATGCTATTCATAAAGTATACAACATGTCCCACATTAATTTCAAAATTTTATAAGCAACTTGACTTCTTAGCAGCGTAGAAAAATGTTTGATTTTCTTTAGCCTAAATGCATACAACATGTAGTTTGGTTATTCTGAATGCAAGAGTAATGGCAAGTGGGCGGAAATAAAGAAAGTTTTTTCTTTAAAATTGAAAGATGCCATTTCGTTAAGTGTAGGCTTTAAAGGAGACGCAGTGTTCTACAAAATGAGTACAAGAAAAATGGTTTTGCATATTTTTTATAACTTCCATTTGAATATGCAAGGGTATCGAAGATCAATGAGACAAATTCCGACAATTTAAGCATTCCTTTTTAATAGTTTGGTTAATGTAGTTGACAGGAAATAAGCTCGTTTAAGAGCCGGCATCCTGACTTAGATTATGCTTCACAACTATCAATGGTGCAGTCTCATGTAAGTAATCTTTTAGAATCGAAAACACATTTCACCGTTTCGGTTAAATTTAGTGAGATAGCAGATCTATGGAAACTCCAAATCCAAGTACCAAGTTGATATCTTTAATGAGGTTTGAAACAGCCTCTAGTGAGGCTATTAATCCGGATTCACGACTGCCACACTAAATCCTTCGCATGGGACAGAAAAACAGAAAACTTGCCTAAATAATTTTACCATTTTCCTACTTCTTTTCGGAAATCCTTGTGGTGTCGTGCATTGTGTTCAGATCCACATTTAGCCGGCGTTTGTTTGTTCCATACGGAAATAATGCACAGGCAACCGTAGTATAAAAACCTCCAGCTTCTGAATAGCCCAAAACATTCAGCCACGTAAAACTACTTGAGAAAATGTCTGCTACACGCCGAACATTCTAATGTGGGACATATTCCGTTGAGTATTTGCCACTTTCAGGGACTTCCATGCATTTGCAAGTAGCATTGTCCCTGATACAGTTGTTGTCACAGAGTAGACGCGGAAACTAGTTTATGCCATGGCACGCGTTATTTACACTCACCCAGTCGCTATGGTGACACGCACAGGCTCTTATTTGGCCACCCGTCTGCTCCTTATACCAACATGAGATAGCGGACTGGCCAGCATTTTAGGAAAAGGGCCTATTCCCGTGGTCTAATCCTAACGCTAGCAATAACCCTAACTATAATCCCAAACTTACCCTTAATCCTAACCCTCAACTTAACCCTATCTCTAACCGCCAAGGGAACTATAACCACAATTTCGCAGGATGGCCAGGAATATTACGAAGGTTCTTATTCCCGTGTCTTGCCTAGTTAATTCTGCAGTCAATCATAGTCTGGCGCTAGCAGTGCACTATTCCCAGAGTGGCAACGGTTAACCAGTTAGCATCCTGGGCAAATTTTATTTTGACATGGCGTACAACATTTTAATGAATACAATCAATTATGCGGTTAAGTAGGCCTGATGGCAGGAGACATGGTCCTGAAAGTCTGCCTGGATATCGAATGGTTCTGCCAGGCTGTTGTAGGCAAAAGCCAAAGTAGTCTTGGATGTCTGCATCATGCTTATGTTAAAACCGCTCAACATTGAAGCTAACCCAAATCGTGGCATCAGCCTCAATGTGATTAATCCGCGGAAATGTTTGCACAGCTTATCTTCGCCCTAAAAGTAGGTTATCGTCGGATTTTTATGTCGCAATGACCGTTCGACCGAAAAAAAATAGTGACAGTTTTTATATCCTTTAGCCGATATACCATCCACATATTGCTTTGTTGTCATTCTATTTCTGTTATTTCGGTGGCTTCTTTCCGCAAAACAGGGTCATACGCAATAATTTCCACTCTGAAATGGAGAGATGAAGTGATATGCGAATAACCAAATTCGAGAATGCGCCAAAATGCTCTCGCCAGCTCTCGAACTTGAACTAGTTTTTTAAAGTCAGGTCGTCGCTCTCACAGGACATAGCCATTCAATGTTGGAGGCCTTCCATTTAGTAGACGAATTATTGTGTAATATTGAGTGTTATTTATGTCGAGGTTATGCTCCATTAATGTGACTATGTCGACCCAATAATTCTTGTGACCGTTACCAATGCCACGCTCATGTAGATTATTACTGCAATATATTCAGTGCAAAGTTATTCGTTCCACTTTTCCCCAGAAGCCCTATTCACGGCCATTGCGTAGAACTACGGTTTCCTCTCGTGTCTTATCTGTTAGGTTAAAGTAAATTGCTTTAATCTATTCAACTTGGTTCCTCGGCAATTAGTAGCTGTAGACTGTATTGATTATTCGTTATTCTAATGTTTTTATCGATAGCCCCTAAATTGTTTTGCTTCGCCAACCCCTAAATATCCTGCGCACACCTAATCCCCCTTCTTTTCCTAAATCTTTTTTCGTGTTGGTAGTTAGGTTATTTAACTTATAAGCTAACTTATGCTTCCTATCTAACCTAATACCGTTTGAAAATGAAGTGTTAATTCATACTTTCTTTTTAGCATTCTCACCTGCCCTTTTACAGACACTATACTGGCATTTTTATTAGGTGATACCCTTTTTAATGAATTCCTTGGGGTACGTGGGGAGATACTGCTTGAACTAAAATCGTCTTTTTAAAGGACAATATTCAGAGAGGTACTTTTGAAGCTTTTGAAGTGCAATCGCTCGGACCCTACCTATCATAGTCTCTCGTAGAGTGCAAGCTTTATACAATAACATCTCCTTCTGGCAGTCCTTTCGTCTACAATTAAGTGGTTTTCTACATTGATGCGTTAACGCTGGATTTGAATATAGATTTCCTTGTGAATTAAAAATTAACAAGTAAGTCTGCTCTGCGATAGCATCCCGCCTTGGCACCGACCTTTTGATGTAATGATCTGAAATATTTTCAGCGCGACCTCGCGAGGGCATACCCTTGTGATTTAGGCTTTGGGGATGAGAATTTCGCCCATTTCAGGGTCTTGCATCTCATCTCATCTACTGTGGTCGACACCGAGTCTCATTAAGATGGCATATCTATGATCATTATGCGTGTACGAGATTTGTGTTGCTAGATTACACCAAACCGTCATATTTTCGCGCTTTCTGCCTCTGTTAGCTACGCCCTTGCGACAGGTCACAGTATATTTGCCGTTCAGCCATTTATTTTTCCTTCATCTCTTTCTAACAGGACATGCTCTCGGAGCGGCAGAGAAGTTCCGCGGGCTTGGAATCTTCTTTGACACATACAACAACCACAACGGGGAACACTCCCATAAGCATCCTTATATCAGTGCCATGGTCTCTAATGGCAGCACTGTGTATGATCACGACAAGGACGGCACTCACACGCAGCTCGCAGGTTGTCACTCTTCATTCCGCAACCACGAAAATGGTGCCCAGGCCAAGATACGCTATGAGAAGGAGAAGCTGACGGTAGGCACAGGCTTCTCTCTCTCTTTCTCTCGGTGCTTTTCTCTTAAACAAACAATGAAGCCAGTCTTACAGTTTAAATCGACAAATTAAATTCATGCGAAGGAGCCTACGGGCTTTTTATCTACAATGTCTCCGGCGAAACTGTAGCAGCGTTTTAGTTGATCTATCCTTAATCCTCTTTTTGGCAGCATCTGAAATCCTGTTAGTCAGTTCTAAACCGCTCCATGTTGTTTTTTATTGTCATAGGTTAATTAAGAGGAAGGTGCATCGTACAATATCTTCCCTTCCTCGCATCTCTTTAAATTTAATGATAAGCTTCTCCGTCGATTTATGACCGATTTGAGGCCCCTTTAAATGATTTAAACTCCCCTCGTTATGTCAGTGACATCTAGCAAACGTTTTTAATGCTTTCGAATTGTCATCCTTCTGAGTAACTGTGTTATGGGGTGATTTTTAAAACGGTCTCAGTGCAGACACCAACCGCGTAAGTGCCGACTAACAGTACATACAAAATTTGCTTTTACCTCCACCAATTGATAACTTAAATCAAGATCAGATAATTTTCTTAAACTCCTCATCCGTCTGAACTAATTGTTCGCCTTTTTCATAATTATAGGTCTCTGTTGATGTGGGAGCTAAAAACAAGTGGTCCGAGTGTTTCAGCGTTCACGGTGTAAAACTTCCAACTGGGTACTTCTTGGGCCTTTCTGCTGAAACTGGTGACTTAACAGGTGACTCTCTACTTCCTCCCCCCTCCCCACCATGTGTATTTTTAACACTTCGCGCTGATGAGCTTCTTAATCATTGTTTTCTTGTCAGTCTCTGACGGTCTATGCTGTCTGCCGACATTTATTACCTCACAATTTCCTTGGCATTACACGACTTTGTAAATTCCGCAGGAGTTTACTTGGTAGCGCACATATGTTCTTATTTATATTTACCCTACTCCAACGCTTCCCGTAGGAGAGAAACTTGGGTCATTTTACATGCGATATCACTATCCCAACCTAACCCTTACACTTACCCTAACCATATCCCTAACCCTTACCCTAATCCTTAGCCTAACCCTTACCTTAAACCTAACCCTTACCCTAACACTTACCCTAACCCTTACCCGAACCCTAACCCCAGCCCTTACCCTAACCATAACCATAACCCTTACCCTAACACTTACCCTAAGCCTAACCCTAACATAAATTAATTGTGTAGGCATTTAAATATAAATGAAAACATATGTGCGCTACCAAGGAAACTCCTGCCGTAACTTCTTCGCCGTTTACTGTCTGTGGCTTTCCTCCCGTTTGTGCAAGCTTTCGCCCCCTTACAGTGTTCCACATATCCAAACTTAACTGTCCCACTGTTGGATGTGGTGTTTAATTGTGCTGTATCTCACAAGGCCTTAGTTATAGTTAGTTTGGCCGAATTAGGTGGTAGTGCGGATAATAATTCCTGACTAGCGGTAATCAGCAACAACGTATCTGCAGAGTACTACTCCTTATCTCCAGTAACAAGAACCGAAGATCCAAGAACCGCTACAATGGCAAGCTGTGTTGAGTCAGGTTTTGATCTGCCTCCAGTTCGCCGTTTCTGGCCTTCTAGTGGCATTAAATTAAGGCTAACAGTACTCCGCTCCTGGGGCAACCCAACGAATATGGGCCTGATGATTAATATTGTTTGAGGCTTTAAAGGTATCAACTTTTAGCCCGATCAACCCGTTATCTTGACTTGCAGCTCTGGACAGCTTCATTCGCATGCTAACTGGCCTTTTTTTCAATGCACCGTCCTAGTGTTGTTCAACGTTTGGTTTTGAAAAGTGTGGAACCGTAATCGGTACTTTATGCGCCACGCAGTCTGGTCGTTCCGCCTATCTTTTTACCTTGATAATTCTTATCTTTTAGATAATCATGATATATTCTACCTGAAGACTTATGATGTCCACGTGCAATACACAGTAAGTCTTGAGTATATTTTTGTCTAAGCCACTTACACACCGCAGCCACTTTACCATGTGCGTTCTTCTGTTTAGCTCTTTCACAAAGTTTGAATTATAGGTGCTTCGTTTGCGAGTGCGTGTTGACTTTTTGAAAACGAAGTATCGAGATAGGGTTAGCTAACTTTAAGGTTTGAAATCTGCTTGACCTTGATGACGCCGCTTGTTCGGATTCCAGGTCGTGTATGTGCATACATCCCGCTCCCATCTACCGCCCGGTTTTCATCTACAGCT